GGTACCTGTAGTAAAACTGGTGGAGACAGTAGTGCTTCTCTGTGGTCCTTTAACAGCATACATCCTGAGAGTATATTCAGCAGCAGGATGAAGGTTAGTAAGATCATATTCGACAGTGTTGCCCGAGACACTTTGAGTTATTTCTGGCTCTAAATGGGAGAAGAAGAACAGGGAATTAGCAGAGTTGCTGTGTGAATTGTTACTGACCCATATAAAGCCTGCTCCATTGCCAAGCCCGTTTGCTTCTAACCAGTTGGCTTATACTGATGAATCTAGAGAGGAGAGCCCAGAAAGGCTTCAGATGGATTTCGAACCAGATTTCTGGATTATAGTTAGTTGCCTTTTGCTGCTCATTTTGTAAATTCAGATGTATCGACAATGCATGTTGTAAAGTTTTTTATATGCAGCTGATTGCCTATCTATATGTATGTGTACAGAGATATATGCTGATTTATTGATGCCTATGAATTAAAATGGGAGGAAATAGTGTCTGGAAATTAAAAATGGTGTAAAAAGAAACATCCTGGGTTCAGTTCATCCAGAGGAAAGGCAGAACTGAAAAGTGAATCTTCAGTTTGAAAAAGTAGGGATGTTATATATGTCGTTTTCTTCATGGTTGGTATCAAAATAGGGAGGCAATATGGTTTCACACAGGAGCACAGTTTAATAAGTCCAGTTCTTTCTCTGTTTGGAGCTACAGTGAATACAACTTCCTTTCTCCCTGTTCATGCCCACACCAAGTTCTGGTGTGGACTAAGGCAGTCTGAAACACTGGTGTGGATTGAAGGAACGGAGCAAACAAGAAATAAAGGTCACAACACCACAATATACGTCTTTCTTGTCAGAAACCCTGCTCTGCCTGACTCCCTGGATGCTTTTGGGCTTCCTTCAGGCACTACCAATCTTCAGGGCGTGATGGATTAGAAACTTTATTTAAACAAGAAAAGAAATATAACATTTGAGTTTCCCTTAATATCTTGTTTTGTATCCATTTCCAATTTTCAGTGTGGTGTAGTGGTTAAAGTTGCCAGGTTCCCCCAGCCACCGGCAGGGGTGGTAGGGTTGACATTCCCCAGGTCCTGGTGGGGAATCCCCCAGTTTTGGGGCATCTGCCCACCACCAGCCAGCTGGCTGGCAGGGGAACCCCCCCGCCCAGAAAACAGCAATGACACCACCAGGGGTCATTTCCTGCAGGAGCGCACAGGAGCGGAGCTCCGGCAGTAAAGAGCCCAGGGGGCAGGCACATGCAACAAGCCCCACCCCCTGCTCCCAGCAGCCCTCAGTCAGAGCAAGAAGCAGCCAGGTAAGCTGCAGAGCCCCCCCCCCCGGGATCCCTGGTCCAAAACAGGCCAGTGACACCTTTAAGACCAAGTTTTATTTGGGCACAAGCTCTCCCTCCTCTGTGAGGGCAGATCTGCACTCCCCCCCCCAATAGCTAGCAATCCAAAACAGTCCACTGGAGCCTGAGCAGTGGGTGTTGCCTTCTGACACACCTCCGGTGATGTCAGGGGGTGTGGCATATGCAAATAAGTTATCCTAATGAGTTATGCTAATGAGCTCCTGTACCTCTTTTTCTATGAAATGACCCCTGGATACCACGTGACATCCCTGATGCACTGATGTCACTCAGAAGTGACATCATTGCTTCAGGGATGTTGCGTGGCGATGCCCTGGTTTTTGGGCAAAACTCTATGGCTGGAGGGAAATTTTACCATACACTTTTGCCTTCAAACCAGAACTTCACTGTGCTATGTCCCCAACATGATTGCATCACTTCTGCATGATGTCATAATGTCTTGGAGCCCCGCCACACTCCTGGGAGGCTCCCACACACACACCAGTGCACCAATAAGACCTGGCAACCCTAAGGGGTGGGAAGGGGAGGGTTGCCAGTTTCAGGTTGGGAAACTCCTGGGGATTTGGGGGTGGAGCCTGGGGAGGACATGGGCCTCAGTGGGGTACATTGCCATAGAGTCCACCCCTCCAAAGCATCCATTTTCTCCAGGGGACCTGATCTCTGTAGTCTGGAGATGAGATGTAATTCCAGGGGATCCCCAGGTCCCTCCTGGAGGCTGGCATCCCTAAGTGGTTAAGCTAGGATCTGGGAGGCCCAGGCTGGAATCCCCTTTGCTGGGTGACCTTGGGGCAGTCACACGCTTTCAGGATAACCTACCTTACAGGGTTCTAGTGAGGATAAGAATAAGAGAGAGGGAGGAATGATGTCACCCACTTTGGGTCCCCATAGGGAAGAAAGGCAGGGAATAAATGGAATAAATAAAGACAGAAATAAGTCTTCTGAAGTTTCTGAAGTCTTCTGAAGTTTCTGAAGCTTTTCTATAGTGGAGGAGGAGGAGATTGGACCTTCACTCGAAGTCTCAGAGCAGCTTACAAACTCCTTTCCCTTCCCCTCCCCACAACAGACACCATGTGAGGTAAAAGAAGAAGAGATTGGATTTATACCCTGCCCTTCACTACCGAAAGGTGTCTCAGAGCGGCTTACAAACTCCTTTCCCTTCCCCTCCCCACAACAGACACCCTGTGAGGTAGGTGGGGCTAAGCAACCTCTGACAGAAACTGCCCTTTTTCAAGAACAGCTATTATCAAAACTACGGCTTGCCCAAGGCCATCCAGCAGGTGCAAGTGGAGGAGTGGGGAATCAAACCCAGTTCTCCCAGATTAGAGTCTGCGCACTCAACCACTACACCAAACTGGCTGCAGAGCTGTGTAACACACACAGAGCTCTCAACTTACCTCCTTCGGCAGCGTAGGAAATCACATAGCTGTCCACGGCAGCTATCGCGGGCTGCCAGACGGCCAGGGCCTCCGAGTCTGTGATGTTCACGGCTACCAGTCCTGATGGGGCATCCAGCGCTGAGGGGAAAAAAGCATATATTAAGTGCAGTATTTTTTCCCCCATCAAGAATCTTCCTGGCTTGACAGAATATATGATCCTGCTTGACCATGGTCAAGCATTTGGCAGTCAGCTGACAATATCTGACACTCAGCTGACCTGCTTCCCGGCTCTACATGAAGAAAATAAACAGAGCCCTTGCAAGCCCTCATTTCTCCCTTCTGGCTGTCTAAAAAGTGCTGAAGTAAAGAAGAGGCTTATAACAGGGCGACCTCCTTGTAGCAGACACACGAACAAATTATTATCCCCATGGGAAAGGGAAGCCATTATGGATGAGGTCTTTCAAAGACGTTGAGACAAAGCAAAATGGATTATGGTGAAGGGCAAATTGGTTGCAAGTTCTAGTCTTGGTATCATCCATCTTTCTCAGCTGACATATTTCTCTGCGTTCCAGAGGTTTCTTGGGGGAAAACTTAGAATCAAGTCTGGGAAATCATGGAATAGAAGGCAAAAAACATGTCAGGAATGATCTTCTGTCAGCCTGTGGCTCTCCAGAGGCCACTGCACACATTTTATCACATGGGTGGCTGTGTTCTGTTCATTCTTGTGAGGGAGTTCTTATTTTTTTCCGCCACCTCTCTCACTGGAGGGAGACATGACACTGTGATGGTGCAATGCTTCTATTCCAGAAAAATCCTTCCGGCTTCCATTTCACTTTGCATTATCAGTAGGGTTTCCAGCTCAGAGATGGGAAATACCTGGATATTTTGGGGGTGGACTGTGGCGAGGGCAGGGAACTCAGTGGGGTATAATCCCATAGTGTTGACCTTCTACAGCAGCCATCTCCTCCAGGGGAACTGATCTCTGTGATTCCAGCCACCACCTTGGGACTTTCAACCCTAATCATCACAGTACTATGGGTAAGGCTAAGCACGGTGGCTCAAGTGGTTAAGATGTTGAACTGCAGGCTGTGGAAGGTCAGTAGTTCAGCAGTTCGAGACCCGAGCTGCCGCATGACGGAGTGAGCTCCCGTCTCTAGTTCCAGCTCCTGCCAACCTAGCAGTTCGAAAGCAAGAAATTGCAAGTAGATAAATAGGTACCACTTCAGTGGGAAGGTAACAGCGTTCCATGCGCCTTGGTGTTTAGTCATGCCGGCCACATGACCACGGAAATGTCTTTGGACAGCGCTGGCTCTTTGGCTTTGAAACGGAGATGAGCACCGCAAACCTAGAGTCGGATTCGACTGGCTTTCGAGCAAGGGAACCTTTACCTTTACTTTAAGCACATATCCATGGTTCCATTATTCTGTAGCATCCTGGTCTGCTGTTCCTTTCTTGCAAAATAAGTAAAGCAATCCTGATGTGGTTCTACATATGGCTGTATCGAAAATTCTTTCTGAGCGGTGTTTTGTCAATGCACGGGGCCACATGTATGCACCGCACACAAAGAAAGACTCTTGATGCAGTCAGATCTAGGCACATATGGATCGCAATTGCTCTTTTGCGGTGTTTTATCAATGCACACGTGCATTAATAACATTGCCATAGGGATGCAAATGGAATAAAAGAACCAAAGTCTACTGTAAACTGGGCATGCTCCAATTACAGAATTCATTTTAGAAATTTTAGTTTACACCAGATTTCAAGAGGAGCGGAAAGCAAAACAGAGAGTGCGGTCACACGTGCCAGAGAACGTGAGGGGGGGGAGCGAGGCTATTTGCTCCGCAGTAATTTGACCCACCACTGCGCACTGCCGAGCGCCAAGAATAGATTCTTTTGAGCTATGGTGCTGGAGAAGACTCTTGAGAGTCCCTTGGACTGCAAGAAGATCAAATCAGTCAATCCTAAAAGAAATCAACCCTGACTGTTCCCTGGAAGGCCAGATAATGAAACTGAAGCTCAAATACTTTGGCCACCAAATGAGAAGGGAGCACTCACTGGAGAAGACCCTGATGCTGGGAAAGATTGAATGTCAAAGAAGACAGGGACGGCAAAGGATGAGATGGTTAGACAGTGTCATAGATGCAACGAACATGAAATTGAGCAAACTTCAAGGACAGCTGGTAGGTATAGATATTATGGAATAAAAGATGGGGGATGGGGGATTCCCAATATTAGTATGTATTATGATGCATATCAATTAAGGCATCTAATGATTTGCCTGGAGGGAGAGTTAGGAGAAGATCTTGGTTGGATAGAACGGGAAAATTTAGAGGTGGTAGGAGGAAAGGAAAGTTTGTTTGATAGGAAGAATAGGAAGAAGAAGATAGGTAATGAATTATCAACATTTCTGGGGCCTTATATAGTGTGGGAGAAGTGGAAGAAAGAGCTTACTCCGGGGATATCACCTCTTACCAAAATGTGGTATAATGATAAATTCTCCCCATTAAGGGGATCAATGTCAAAGGAGGTAGGAGATACATTAAAGAAGATTACGATTAAAGAGTTGAAAAAGATATGGGGAACAGATGGGATGATGGAAGAAGAGAATAATGTGTTGAATAAGATGAATTGGTTGCAAAAAAGTCAGATTTCCTCATTGCTGAAGGAAGAAGAAATTAATCATATTGGGAAAAGAATTACTACTCCCTTTGAAAAATTGGTGAAAGAATATGGAGAAGGTAAGGCAAAAATAGTTTCAAAATTGTATAAGGTGTTATTAGGTATAGGGAAATCACCGAGAGAAGCCTTGAAGGAATATTGGGAAACAGATCTTCAAGGTAAAATTTTGGAGGAAGAGTGGGATAGGATTTTTAGATTACCTCCCTTTGTTACAACGTCTAGGTTAATACAGGAGCAGGGTTTGAAGATGATACAGAAATGGTATTATACACCAGTTAAGTTGAGCTATATTTCAAAATCGGGAAGTAAAAATTGTTGGAGGAAATGTGGAGAGGTGGGAACGTTCAGTCATATGTGGTGGGATTGTCCTTTGGTAAAGAAATTTTGGGATCAAATTGGTATAGAAATGTCGGGGATTGTGGGAAGAAGGGTAAGAGGTTTAAAAGGATGGTGGGGTATTTGGGAAAGTTTAAAAAAATTGGGGGGATTAGTCAGTTAATAGGAAATTGAGAGGTTAATTTGATTATAAGATTAAGAGGGAAGGTTAATAGTGGAATAGAGTTGTACGGAGATTGATTGTGATATAATACTGTATGGAATGTTATTTATGTCTCTAATGCCTGGAAGTCGCACATGGGTGGTGTTGGTGTTGGATTTTTTTATGAAATAAAATAAAATTTAAAATTATTTAAAAAAAAGAAAAAAAGAAATTGAGCAAACTTCAGAGGACGGCGGAAAACAGGAGGGCCTGGCGTGATCTGGTCCATGGGGTCGCAAAGAGTAGGACTCGACTGTGTGACTGAACAACAACAACAACAACTGCGTGATCAGATGCACCGGCGGGAGAATTGGGTTTTTTCCTTCGCCGTGTGTTTCCAGTGTGCTTCAATGAGGGATCACTGATGCAATGAGAGCGCGCCAGAATGATCACACAGGGAAATCTGTCTGCGGCCTGTCGCAAAAACGTTTGGTACTGCACTTTTCCTGGTATTTTTTAACTCCACTTCTTCGGCGGAGCGAGACAGGTTGCCGACGGGTGCGGGACACTTGCCAGATGTTCCCGTGTTCCCTTAAAATCTGCCCGGCATTTGTGCCTATCATGCGGCTAATTCTGCGTGTGATCGGGACCCGAATGATCCTTCTGAATGATAAAGAAAGGGAATAAGGGAAATCCACTGATAGCTACAAAAGGTGATGTATGTAGTAATCACAGACACACAAACACTGGCCAATTCAAACAAGAGGTTTGAGCCCAACAAGCATTTCTGCAAGTGGAATGGGAGTTGGCAGAGGATAGTGTGGGGGATATCTTTGCTAGTCTCCCTTGCCACTGCAGATCCCTGCATCAGCCTTGTGCAGCCTATGAGGGTCCTCTGACCCCCGCAGGAGCAGAACTGTGGGTGGCTCAAGGGACTCTAGGCAACTGAGACGGGGGAGGCAGGAAATCCCATTCCATGATCTTTGCTTCTCTTGCGGAACTTTGGATCTAACCCAGTGCTAACAGCTGTAAAATTCATAAAAATAGGAACATTAACCGTGAAATAAATAATGAAACCATTTGTTTCCAAAGGTCTAGCAGAATAAGTTTTGGCAAAGGAGCCAGGGAAGAAGATAAACAAGCGTCTTGTTTTTGCCAGATTTTGGAAAGTACAACTCCGCTCAGACAAACAACAATGGTTACAAAAGATTTGGGATTTATTATCGGTTGTGAAGTCGATGACTCTCTTGGGGGCTAAGATGAGATACCAGCAATTAGTGGGATTTCCAGCAATTACTGGAATGTTGGTCTCCGTTTCTGGCATTTTTGAAATAGTCTGTCCTGTACTGTGCTAAAATGAACCCAGATGGGTTATATCTGTTTTACGAGAAGTTCCCCCCTTCTTTTTCCTGGTGACATTTTTAAAAATTATATTATACTACTGTTTGCATTGTTGCATGTTCATTAGCACTGTGTATAATGGCAAGTGTCAGGGCCCAGGAGACAAGAATTCTAATTCCTAGTAAATCATGGAAGCTCACTGGGTACTGATCTCAATAGACCAATGGTCTGACTTAGTTATCAGGCTGCTTCACATGGAGGAAGGGCAGGATATAAATGGATTGATTGATAAGAAAACTTTAGCCCCGACCTGGATAGCCCAGGCAAGCCCGATCTGCTCAGATCTTGGAAGCTAAGCAGGGCCGACCCTGGCAAGTAATTGGAAGGGAGACCTCCAAGGAATACCAAGGCTGGGACACATAGGCAGGCAGTAATACGCCAGGTCTCTGAAACGTCCAAGCCCCACTAGGGATCTCCAGAAGTCAACCATGACTTCAAGGCATACACATGCACACAAAATACTCACCCCCCCAAAAAAAAGATAATAAAACTTTTAAAAAGCATGATGTTAACTGTAGTGTATTCAAAGCTGCCTTGAATGCATGATATGTTGTGAAACATCTAATTGAAGTGTAATGTAAAGCCTCGTCCTGGGCTAGGATCCAAATCCATCCAATCGTGTTACTAGCCCAGGAAGCACCTAACCAATCACTTTCAAGCAAGCTCCCTGAGCGGGAACATCCGTGATTGGTCCTTATGTGAACAACCTTATTGGTTGGTATTTGTACAGTGGGTGTGGCTATATTAGCTGGGAATTTTTAAAAGCAGGACAGCTGCAATGTAAAGGCTGTTCTGGCTATCAGATGTTGATCCGTGTTGGAGTTGTGTTCGAGTTGAAGAATAAAGTTGTGTTCTTGCTGAATCACTCTCCGACTGCTTTGTTAAGCGAGCGACTTAACATTAACCCACCAGCCTCTTTCAGAGATAGAACACGGTTCAGCTTGCAATGTTTTACAAGCACAGGTTGGCTACACTGTAGTGAGTTACCCCCAAGTGACTCAAGGAGGCAAGCCAAGAAGAGCTATCCACTTTCAACTCTTTCAGGGTTCACCTGCCTATTGAAAATATTTTAATTTGGGGGAGACGGGGGAGGGAGAATCTGCTTTTGTACCTACCTGTGGTTAGAGATCCGGAAACAGGTTCACTTTCTTCAAACCCTTTGACAGAGATGATACTGACAATGTACTCTACACCCGGAATCAGTTTTAGCAGCTTGGTTTTACTCTTGCTTCCGTCGACTGTTACAACACGGGGGCTACCTGGAATCCATAACGATTTGGATGAGTTTTGCAAATGCTCTTCCCGCCCTCCCCCCCCCCGAAGAATTTTTCACCGCAGAGAAAGTTCAAAATCAATGGGCTCATAAAAGGAATTTTCTTGGCTGACGTTTCTAAATAATAGATGTGTGACACAAACGTTTACCAGTAGCGAAGTTTGCAAAGAAGGGGCTCATCATACAGTAAACGCTGTGTTAACTGGCATCATTGAGGAACCAGGGCTGACCAAACATCTTGGTCAACCATTGCCTGCTCGCCTACAGCCTGACAGCAGGTGGAGGAACAGCAGGCAGCGGTCCTGGTGACTGCCTGGCCGTGGACACCACCTGCTAGGCAGCAGTGCGGGTGGTGCCCATGATCAGAATGTGCAGTCCCATCCTACTGTTGATTAGTGCTGCAGCAGGGGGGTGATTTAATGGGCTGTGATGAGTCCTGGCTCTCTCAGTCCCTGCTCACCACACTGCCAGTGCCAAACAGTGGCATGGGGCAGGGAGCAAGGGATCCTGGCAGCGGGATCCTGGCAATGTGCTCTGCCCACAAGCTGGCGACACTCACAGTTGGGACTCAGGGCCCGCTCCGCCACTGCCTGCTGTCCTATGACAGCAGACAGTGGCGACCAGCACGCCGATTTACCAAGTGTGCCAGGTAACTGAGTGCTGTATGGCACAGCTTTGACTGTACACATTTGCCCTTACCATGGAATTCTTATTCCGTTTGCAATATCAAGAAGTGTTTTGAGCTGACGTCACCACTGTTGGTGCCATGTTGAGCAAAGTCTTCGGAGGACACTTTCCTTTCTTTCTGAACTATGGCCTAGCTCCATGTACCAAGCCACCAATGTGATCATCAGAGAAGCAAAGGCATGCCTCTCAGAGAGGGGAAGGCGGCATGTTCCAGCAGGCTACCAAGGACGAGGGCATCAAGATGCACAATGTCCGCAGCAAGAAAAGACACTGTTCTGCAGTAGCTACAGCAACATGCTCCCAACCTGGTGCACTGCGGTCCCAAAGTAACAGTGTGAAAATATGTACTGGCTAAAATATGATGAACCAGTATAGAAATCTTGAAAAAAAGGTTTCATTGTTCACGGAGGGCACAATTAGTGCTCCAAATGCAATTAAAGTGGAAGGAGAGATGCCTTTCAGTAGAAATAGGCAGACACTTAATGGGGCTGCATCCACACAAAGAGGAGTCTCTGGTTTCCCTGTGGTTGCTGGCATGAATGCCAAGGCATTTGCACTAGCAGTGGAGCATCCACATTGGAGTTTTGTGCATACTTTCCTCCACCAGCCGCCATTTTCCCTGCATTTGTTCTCCTGCCACATTGTCAAATGGTTTTTTTCAATCTTGGGGGGAGGGGGTGGCTAGCAAGTCTTCGATCCCTATAGCATTATGTTGCCAGATCTACTAGTACCTCAGTTCCCAGCTTTTTTTAAAAAAATGTAAGTCTCTAGCCCTTTTCCATTTCCACAACAAAAATGGCTAGAGATGTATTTAAAATGAAAGGAACTGAGTAGATCGTGGCACTTGATTGTTATGTTATAACACTATCATAGCATGCTAGGAAGTAGTGATCCTTTAAAAAAAAAGTCTGACTAAGCCCTCTAGTGGCAAAGGGATGGGATGGCACTTATGGGTGGATGGTGCTAAAGCAAGGGAAATGGAGCTGATCTGGGCAGGATTTTTACAAACCTTCATTTCCACACGGTGTGTAAAGGCGCTTTGACGACAACCTTTCTCAAAAAGATCATACTAACCAGTTTTTGGAAGGATCAGAGCAAAGCACGGAAGAACTCAGAAAGTGACCTTGGCTGATTCTTCCTTGGCTTTTCCCTCTGGTTGGACCAGAAATTCCCCTCTGCATTGCATGCACTTCCTTTGACAATCAGATTTTATGGTAGCCTCCACACTCCATGCCACTTTCGCTTCCTTTGATCATCGGGTTTTATGGTACCTCCTGCATAGATTTATGGCCATTTTATGATTGTTCAGGGGTGACTTTGCAGTCAGTACAGCGTTGTCCGGAGGTATTTGAATATTGTTTTGAGCTGTACTTTTTCCTCCCAGTTGAGAAAATGTGGAGCAAATGCCAGATGCAGAACCACCCATTGTGTGGATACTCCTACTGCCCCCCCCCCATACCCCTACTCCAGTTTGGATGCCAATCTGGAGAACAATCTTTGTGTGAAAGCAGCCTGATGGAGAGCATCAGAAGTACTAGGTTAGGAAATAAGAAGCTAAGTAGAAGACAAAACGATCACAATTGGAAACTTCAGCTCATCTGAAATGTGGCAGGCAAGCTACTGTTAGGGGTAGGATGCAGGGATCGTATCACTCCAGGGCTGAAAAATCTGTGCTTGCTGCTCATTTGTTTCTGGCACAATTCAAAGTGCTGTTTTTTACTTTTAAAACCTTAAATGGCTTGAGGTCCGAGTACTAGAAAGACCATCTCCTTTCCCTATTGTCTGGGCCACCCAATAAGAGCTTCCTCACAAACCCTGCTTGGTATGCCCCCACCCTTGGAGGTGCGGCAAGTGGCAACCAGAGACAGGGCATTTTCAGGAGTGGCACCTGACCAGTAGAATGCCCTACCCCTTAAGGCCTGCCTAGTCCCTGCACTGCTTTCTTTCCGGCATCAGGGCGAAATGCTCACCCAGGCTTTTAACTAAAGGGCCGATCCTCTTAAACGGCATCTTATAGTTTGTCTTTAGCCTGGGAAATATTTAAGACCCATTTTAATGCTTAATGTTTTATGCTGTTTTATGCTCTGCTGTGTTTTGAATGGTGGGTTTAAATAACTTTCAACATATTTCATGTTTTTATAGTGTTTTGTTTTATATGCCGATTAAGGCAGGTTCCCTGGAGAGGTGGCGTAGAAATTTTCCAAACAACAAACAAATGCCTTTCTTACTTTCTCAGTGATATCATCATACCTACCCATCTCCATTTGTGCCCCCCCCTCACCTCCTGTAACTGGGACGTAGGAAATCCGGAAGTTGTCCACTCGTGCTCTTGGAGCAGTCCAGCTGACGACGGCGGAGTTTTCAGTGATATCTGAGAAAGTGATTCCCTTGGGAGCTCCCATAGCTAGCCAAAAGAGAAACACACGGACACAGACAAGGAGAAGGGGTTAACATGCCGCTGGTTTCATCATCCACGCTTGGTTGGAAGGGGGAAAAAGAGAACAGTCTCAGATTTCCACTTCATGAGCTGAAACTACAATAAATATTTAGTCCAGTGTTATGACTGGAATGGAAAGTTTGATACCGCAAAGGCTTTTGTAACAAGCTCAGAACAATTCCCTTTATGGCTGAGGATTAGATTTGGTCAATAATCTTGCCGTGGCATCCAACTCCAGACACAAACACAGCAGCCCGAGAGAACCGTATTGCTTGAATCCTAAATTGTCCTCTCCCACCAGAGCATAAACACGTCAAGTGCCAAAATGTGGCATTCCAATATTATATGCTAGATGATGTTTCCCCATTTCAGAAATTCACACGTAAGCTCAAGAATTTCTAAGCGTTCAGCTGGGAAGGCCAGAGGACGGGGAAAAAGAAGAGGGCAGCAAGTCCAGTGGCAAGCTAGACTCGGGCTCTTCCGGAGAGGACTTTCTGTCAGAGCAAGGGGCAACAGCCCCAAAAAGTCCTTATAAGCTGTGGAAGAGAAGGGGAAAGGAGAAGTAAAGGCTGAAGGACTCTGAATTGTGCCTTTGAGACTTTTGATATGGGATGATCGGGGGTACTGTTTCTAGACAGTTAAATTTAAGCTTTAAAGGGAAAGTGTTATAAATGCTTGACTCAGTTTATAAAGGGATCAATGATGGGAAGACTTGATGTAACTAAGCTAGTTGGAGGATCTCCTCTCTTGGGCTTTTAGTTAGTAGTGGGTTCTTTACTTTATCCCATATATGTAGTTTCCCCTCCCTTTTCTTCTGTTGTAGTTATTGTAGTGTTAAAAAAATAATTTAAAAAATCCCCTCCGGGAGCTCAAAAAAAGAGAAAAAACGAAATCCACACGTACACATATGCACTCATGCAGATGAGGAGCTCCTGTCCATTTCTGAAAAGGGTACCGTTTTTCATATGCAAAGGAATGCACACGTTGAGCAGCATGCTCCATTGAAATGAACAAGGAAGCAGTTCCAGGTGAAGGAGCGCCTTCCTTTCACTGGAATTCTGGAACCCCTCCCTGGATCAGCGTGTGGATGTTTGTGACATACTTCCGGGCAACCCTAGATGATTCTTCCAAATTTTCACAGCAATTTTCTCTTTGAAATGTGACAGGTCATCTGAGATGTTTGGCCAATGTGTGCTCAGAAAAGTGTGCCTATGCTTGCCAGTTCTCCAACGTCTGCAGAGGACCCTCCCCCCCACCCACCCCGCTGCCCCTTTTTTCTGCTGCTCAGCTGGGTGGTGGGGGGAAATGGGGAGGATGGGGAAATGTGGCCATTGGCGTCATCAGGGCAGCGATAATGCTACTTCCTGGGAGACCAGAAGTGCTGTCATCATAGCTCTGGGGGACACTCTGGCATTCAGGCAAAACTCTATGGTTAAAGGTGCCACCCGAGTGTATGAGTCTCCCACGGGTTGCCAGCATCATGCTAGCAACTCTGTCACCCACACACGGGGCCAAGTGGCTGAGTAACCTGTAGGGCACTGGAGAAGAGGCATCAGGATGTCCTAAATAAATCAATCTAGAATCCTTCAACTTTTGCAATCTGTAGGACGCATTTTGGGGTAGTGCACTGAAGCATCCTGGGATGCTCGAAACCATGCATTTATGCTAAGTCAAGTTGGTCCAGTAAAATATAGAATTGCATGGGCTTTCCATGATTTGCGAGGGAATGCTCCCTCCCCACCATGTCAACAGGAGCAAGCACCACATCAATGGAGGGGGGGGGGGATAATGACCACGTGCCCCCATTCCTGTATCGCAGGACTCTATGGCATTAGACACAACTCTTATTTTTCCGTGGTCCGGAATCCCCTATTTCCCCTCACTTTCCCTTTCGGTACTGAGCCACATAGCAGTTCAGAAAATAACTGGGAAAACAGCCCTCGAAAAGGCTACGTTTTTAAGTGGAGTGCAGCTCCGCCCTTCCCCCTGTAATTGAACACTGTCCCCGTGGACACTTCATCCACAGCCACTCTGAGGATACCCCTTTGAGCAGGGTAATTTTCAATTCAGTTCAATGGGAAAAGCCTCAGGAGTGCCATGAAGCATGCTTAGGAGGAGCACAACAACATGTGGGCCTTCGCCTTTAGCACAGAGGCTTCCTGCTTTCCATCAAGGGAGAGGTTCCCATGTGGGAGCAGCCGCAGACAGAGAACACTCTGAAAGTGTTTTGAAATATTTCTTTCCCTCCTTTCCCCCCTTCTGGTTGTTGCTGGTCATGTATTTATTTGGGGAATCATGTAACAAGTAGCAGAACAATGCTCCGTTTTCAATGAAAATAGATGTGTTGATGACAATCTGTCGGTTCTTTCTAAACGGTACAAGCCTCCCTCATATTCTTGCTTATATCTCCCTGCATACTTGACAGAGGTACTAAAACCACAGGCAGATCAAAGCCATCTCATGTCCCGGGTTTCTTTTAAACAACCCTTTTGCCATTGTCTGAAACTTATTTTGGCAATCTGAACTGTGAGGGAAAGAAGAAGAGATTCCCAACACCTAGAGATAAGTCTGGCCCTCAGACATTTATATTCAGCATTTCAGTCCTAAATGGCGTTTCTTTGTCCAGTTGCAATGAAAACAACCTCTGATTTTAAAATGTTTTTAAAAAATAAACCGCCCACACACAGGAGGTCCATTAGCAAAGTACCAGAAGCAAACCACATTAAAAGCTTCTATGGAGATGTGCCAGTTGCAGCTTAAGCAAACTGGGTGCACAGCACGCGCGTGGGGGGGGGGGGGCGGGGGCTGGCGAGCTTCTGATGGCGTGCAAAATTCAAATTTAGATTGATTTAATTTGAAACGATGTACTTTGTATATATTAAAGGCTGTGGGTTTCTTTCTTTAAAAAAATATCTGGCTCCTTTTTAATGGGCTATTTTTTGGAGTTAAGCTTTCTGCTAAATAGTTTCTAAATCCCCCAAAAAACAGAACTCAAGACATACTTTTTCATTAGGCTGAACCACACTGTCACCAAGTAACAAATAAAGGCCCCGGTCACACGGAGAATTTGCAGTGCGAAAGGCATGAATGTCGGGCAGATTTTCGGGGCGCGATCACACCGCAACATCTGGGAAGCGTAGCACACCCGTGGCCAACCCATGGCGTCCCGCCGAAGATGCGGAGTTAAAAAGTACCAAGGAAAGTGCACTAGTATCTGGAAAACGCGCGACACAGGCAAGCGTCTGATCGCGGGAGCGCTAGTATCCCGTGGAATTTGGCATCCGTCCACGTCTCATCGCAAACTGGAAGTTTTTCATAAGCGCATGCACACAAACATGAAACTGAAAGCAGTGCTCCTCTGCGGAACTGCGCATGCGCACAAATGCAAAACGCTTGTCTGATCGCACCGTGCCGCTTCTTTGCCACGGTGCAGCATCGCCGTGTGATCGCCAGCTAACAGCCGAAGCACGGAGACTTGGGGGACCATGTGATCGGGCTACCGCGCTTTGTTTTGCTCCGGGACGAACAGCTACGCCTCCCCCCCCGCATTATCTGGCCTGTGTGACCGGGGGCAAAGAAGCTTTTGAGTCCCTTTTCATCAGCATGGGGAAGAATTCTGAGCAACTTAAAACCTCACCCCAGCTTCGTGCCCTTTTGGTTAATCTCAAACAAGACGTTTTACTGTTGTTCTTGATTTTCTTTTTCTCTGGGTTGGGAAGTTCCCCGGAAATTTTGGAGGCCAGGGAGGGGAGGGACTTTGGTGACATCTAATGTCACAGAGTCCACCTTCCAAAGCAACCATTTTCTCCAGGGGACTGGGTCTCTGTTGCCTGGAGATCAGTTGTCATCCCAGTTGTCATCCCAGTTGTCACTACCTGGAGCTGTTTATAATCTTTGCTTCTGCATAACAGGAAAATATCAAGTAACAGCAGCTGACAGTATGAGTTTAAAAGGGGTCTTTAAATTCTAAAGAGTTTTGAACACCAGTCTTTCTCGGAGGGGGTGTTTAAAGGTGGCTTTAAATGGGGGTTAGACCAGTTCATGGAGGAGAGGTCCATCTATGGCTGCTAACCATGACGAGTAAAAGGAACCTCCATATTCAGAGGCAGTAAACCTCTGGAACCCAGTGCCAGGATGGCCTCTGTTTGCTGGCCTTGGCCTCTGTTTGCTGTTTGTTGGCCCTCCGGGACAACTGGTTGGCAGCTGTGTGAAGCAGGATGCTGGACTAGATAAGCTGCTGGTCTGATCCAGCAGGGCTCTTTTTCTGGCCTTGGGATATAATCTTTCACCTCAACCACAGTGGTGCAATGGTTAATTTGGACTGAAGCTGGGGAGATCTAAGTTTGAATCCCTGTCTAGGCCATGCAGGTCACCAGATAACCTTGGGCCAGTCAGTCTCGTTCAGCCTAACCTCATTCACCCAGGTTGCTGCCAGGGAAGAAAAATGGGAGAACTCCCCTTGGGTATACCAGACTGTTTTTGGACATAAGGGTGGCACAGGAATGTTGTGATTTAGAAATACATGTTCGACTGGTGGTGGTGGTAGAAAGTGCCATCAAGTAGCGGCTGACTTGTGGCGACCCCATGGGGGTTTCAAGGCATGAGACTTTCAGAAATGATTTGGCATTGCCTGCCCCTGCATCACAACCCTGGCACTCTTTGGAGGTCTCCCATCCAAATGGTAGTCAGGGCCGACAATGCTTAGCTTCTGAGATCCGACGAGATCCAGCAAGTCTGGGCTATTCAGGCCAGGGCACATATTAGACTAGGGATGAGCAAATATTCCACATTTTGTTTCCTTTTCTGCTGTGGGTTTTGCAAGTTCATTTTTATTGTGTATGTACTTTGTAAAATAATGCCACTTATATGGACACCGTATGTCATGTATTTGTGCAGGGCCTGGATAATGCTGGCTTACTGATGTACAAATGATGTTGCAAAATGTGAATGTTTTACAGGAAAATAATTCAGGGGGAGGAAGCTTTAAAAGGTGCAAGACTGAGAATCACGGGTCCAGTTAGCAGAATTCAACTGAAACAGGGATCTTCAGGTCGGCACTGCAGGAATGGGAAAGTTGTTTGCGAAGCACATTTTTCTCCTTAAACTGGGGTCTGAAAGATCCTCAGAATAAAATATTTTTTGTGTTGTTTTGACCACTGGTATTGTGCCTAGGTTTTTTTCTTCCCTTGTATGGTTTTCACAGCTGGTGGATCTCTTTTGTTTCCTTTGCATGTTGTTACCTGGAGCCTTGGAGAGGCCTGTGAGCTCAGTGCCAAAGGAGAGTAAATAAAATAACTCAGCTCATGAGAATAAACTAGGAAATGAGCTCGATGGGGAAAGGAGCATTTGGCAGAGTTAACAGATGGATAAACTATGTCCCTGCCCGAGACTGGAACCAAATATTTCCATGAAATGCTGATCTATCAATCACCACCACCAAATGTCTATGGTGCAGTGCTTAGAGGGCTGATTAGAAGGATCACAGAGACTCAGGTTCAAATCCCCAGTCTTCCATGGAAGCCTGCTGGATGGCCTCGGGCAAATCACTCTCTTTCCACCTAACCCATCTCACAGGGTTGTGGTTCTGAGAATGAAATTGAGGAGGGGCTAAACGAGTTGAGGTCCCCACTGTGGGGGAAACTGCTGTGTAAATATCTAAATAAGTTTTTTTAAAAATCTAAGTGGTTAAGACGCTGAACTGCAGGCTGTGGAAGGTCAGTAGTTGAGCAGTTCGAGACCTGGGTGCCGCATGACGGAGTGAGCTCCTGTCTCTAGTTCCAGCTCCTGCCAACCTAGCAGTTCGAAAGCAAGAAATTGCAAGTAGATAAATAGGTACCACTTCGGGGGGAAGGGAACAGTGTTCCATGCGCCTTGGTGTTTAGTCATGCCGGCCACATGACCACGGAAACGTCTTCGGACAGCGCTGGCTCTTCGGCTTTGAAACGGAGATGAGCACCGCAACCCTAGAGTCGGATTCGACTGGCTTTTCAGCAAGGGAACCTTTACCTTTATATTTCCATAGAGTTGGGATTGGCATCTGGAGGCGTCTGAGCTAAATGTAGCTCATCTGGCTCTCCAGTTTGCCAACCTAGATGCAGAAGAGGAGACCGCATCTGTGGGAGGATGGCTTGCCTGCAGGCTATCTTAGAGGGGTGGGGAACTGGAGTCTTGGCCGTTGCTCTGTTCTCTTATATGGCTGCCTTATATTGAGTCAGGCCATTGGTCCATTTCCCCCTTTCACTGGAGATACCAGGGATCATATCTGGGACCTTCCTTGTGCAAAGTAGGGGTCCGCTGCTGAGCCACAGCCTTCTAGGGATTCCAGCCCCCAGGTGGGACTTGGGGATCCCCCTGGATTCCAGCTCATCTCCAGACTACAGAGTGCCCCTGGAGAAAATGGATGCTTTAGAGGGCGGACTCTGTGGCATCGTACCCCACTGAGGTCCCTGTCCCCCCCCCCCAGGCTCCATCCCCAAATCTCCAGGAGTTTCCCAGCCTGAATCTGTCAACCCTGTGGCCTCCATCCTCCACTGCCAGCCAGGGGGGACCGGGACACTCTAAGTGTGACCCCCCCCCAAAAAACAATTTGCTGGCCTGAGCCACCGATTTCCTTCCTGCCTTTCCTGTTTGAGACCAGCTTTTCCACTAGCTTTAACAAAACAAACCCCCTCCGTAGCTTCCCTCTTTGGCTTTGAAAAACGTCTCCTTACCATCAAAGGAGAAAAAGACTATTAAGAGCCTTAAAGAGGCTCGAAGGCAATAAATCAAAAGCTAATTCCATTTTGCTGAGGGATTGCGAGGGCCCCAGCTCCACGGAGCAATGCTCTGTGAGGTATTTCCCTGGGAATTTTAATAGGCTTTGTTCTATCAGCAACTTATTCATGGACTCTTAAATCTCTCTGAAAAAGTCTAAGAACTTGTCATCGGTGGAGGACGGCATGTAGGGAAGAAATTATAACAACCATCCGTGGCTTTCCATACATTTAGTATGAGTCAGTGGAAAAGAGGAGATGCTGCTAGACAGCCAGTCGTAAACATGTAACCCTCTGGAGCTGGTCTAAAGCATAGCGACCAGCAACAGGGCGTGGCTATTCCAGATTTGGTTTGTCCAGTTGTAGCCCAATGTCTGTGCCCTTATCTTCAAGAACTTCACAACGCAGAGGCTTGATCACACCTGCCACATGCAGCCAACCAGTGGAGTGGATCCTACCCCACTGAGCAAAGTTTGAAGACTTCTTCTAATCTAAAGACTCAACCTCTAACTTAAGTGGCTCTTCTTCCAATGGAAGCGTTGCTTACATTGCGCAACAGCTCCTTAGGCTGGAGGCCAGCTTCTTGGAGGAAGGTTGGATCCACACCGATATCTGGGTTGTACTACATCAGATTGCCTGTGATGCTATCAAATGCACCTTTGTACAATGAAAACGAGGAACATTCAATCAGGTGTTTGAAGGCATTTCAAGATGGAAAGCCAATTGGGAGCCAAATTTGCTCCTGTATCCTCCAGTTGGATTCCAACCTCCAACGGACATGCTTTTTAAAAAAGTCTGATCTACGTTTTGAGGAAATGTTTGGCTCCGGTAGACATAGACCTCTTAACTCCACAAAATGCTACTGTTCCCTTCTAGCTTATTTTTGGCTGATGAATGACCTACAGTCCGGCACAAGTTTACTACTGCAGCAAAGAACAGGTTGGAGAAGAAAAATGTAGTCCTTTGCCCATTCTTTAGAATTTGTTGGGTGCCATCTTAGTGGGATTCCTTAGAAATAACAGCATTGTCCATCAGGACCCTAGGTAGAGGCAGAAAGCCATCTTTAATATCATTGAACGGGGTAAGAGCTAGCTAGGCTACCAGACATGCCATGCTGTAGATCACCTTTCAAACACTCCATGAGTATGTAGTCTTTGAAGTACATTAGAGGAATCTAAACACCAGTAGCCTGTCTGGGGTGAGAAATGAGAAATTCAAGGACAGGAACATAAGCTCGTCCTGTCCATTTAAATGCATGAAAAGAGACCTGAGAACCAATTGGGAAAGGGAAGTAGAGGATTGTACATGAATTGTTAATAACCAGAGCACCACCCACTGGGATGTTCTGCTGCATAAATCTCATAGGGAGCTGTGCATGAGCACTTGTTCCTTTTTTCTAGGGCTTGCGCACGAGAACATTTCCCAGGGGACTGTGCTCCTAATTCCTATGTAGAGAGACATGAGAAAGACACATGTACACATATGCATGCAGTTGTGCATGAAAATTAATTCCTTTCCATGCAGCTTGTGCAAGAGAAATTCTACTCATGAACTGTGCTTCAGATGTTTAACTTAATAGAAATATGAAAGACATTTACACACGAATACACATAGCTACTGCAAGACAACTTCTATTTGGTGGGTTGTGCTCCAAATGTTTAAGTGGACAGAAATGTGAAAGACAGCAGGTGAACACACAGATGGTTGCATACATGTGAGTGACTCATGCTTTTCTTTTTCTTTTCTAAAGAGTACCTGTTGTTGCAATAGCATTTACGGGCTGGGAACGCCGTCCACTGGTAACTCCATAGAGATCTATGTAATATTCCGTGCCTTCCTTCAGCCCTGTTATATCTTGGGTGCGTTCGTGACCTGGTATAATTAGCTCCAGAGGGTTTACAAGCCTATTGGTATCCCTGATTTTAAGAACAAAACTGTCAAACGCTCCTTCGTCGGCTGTCCAAGACAGACGGAAACCATCTGGGGTAGCATCCGAAACCAGAAGGTTGTCAACTTCGGGTTCTGCTTCTGAAATTGGAAACAAAAAAGCAGGAGGGAAAAGAAAGGAAAGCTCTTAATTTCCCTTTTTAAAAAAGAAGGAACAAAACTCCCAGGGGTTCACCACAAATCAGGTTAGAGGATGGTGTGAATGTTCCAGCCACAAGTTCAGAGAAGTGGAAACAGTCGGCCTGCGATCCAAAAGAGGGGGGGAAAGGCATTCAGAGGTTAAGAGCAAGATGCATTCTTGACCACAGATGTGGGTTTGATTGTTCCTCAAGGACCCCCAAACAGTGCTGATGAATCACACACCATTTGTGCCCTGTCATGCAATATGAAACATGCTGGTAGTAACCCTGATGTTCATTGGTTCTCTGCCTTCCATTGGAGTCACCTAACCTTCTGCCAGTCCTTTCAGGAAACCATAAAAAAGCCAAAATACGCCATCCACATGTTGTTGGGTTTCCCTAACACTCAAAAATCACTGAAAACTGTGTGCACTTTCTCCCCCACCACACATACAGGCATACTTTTTAATAACTGTACTGCAAATGGTAAACTCTCTAGCATCCAAATTAGTGTGGGCACCTCAACGGGCTACTCAACAGGTTTGCCAGCATATGGGCAGTCCCACCATTTCCAAAGCCAGAGCGGTAGCCAATCCTCTCCTTGCTTATCCTTGTCCGCACATCAAAGTTGTGTGAGCGATTCTGCTCATCAAGTCGTTCTCCTGTGCCAGACAGTGTGGAGGTTCAGGCACTGAGGAACAGGACTGAGAAACTGTGTATACTTTGCAGGAGAATTTTGGTATGAGGAAGAAGAAAATTGCATAAAGGTAAAGCATCGCCTATACAACTTGTGCAGGAGCGAGACCGAAACAAGGATTTTCATGTGGAAACACAGGGATGAGATGCCCAACTTCATTCCTAGCTTGGATCCAGCAAGGTCATTCTTGTGTTCTTACAGATGGAAGGACCTTGTTAATCCTGCATCAGTACTTCACCATGAAGGTTTCATAAGATACTCTTTCATCTTACCCAGTTAAACCCTTGCATTTACCCATCAAGACTGGCACACACAGAGGAGAGTAAACACTACAGTTGTGTGTGGGTGGGCTGATAATGATACAGCAGTAGACTGAAGAACAGACCCGAGAAATTGAACCTGATAACTATTGAAATAGGCAGTGACTGGTGTACAGAGAAGAAGAAGAAGACCCTGCAGGGGGCACCAAGAAGATAATTAGGTAGCCTAGTGAGGTCTCTTTTTCCCTTTCAGCTAGTGATGTAATTTAATTAGGACGCTGTCTCTGTCTCTTCTGTTCACTGTCAAGTATGTTTGTTCCTGAATAAAGCTTTATCTACACTTTGATCAGGTTGTGCACCTTTCCAGGTTGTGCAACTTTGCTGTGTTAATTACTCTGCCAACCATAATATGGTCCCCAAAAGGACTAAATCAAATCATGGTGGATAGCCATGCTCATATCAGCATATTAGTCAATATGGTCTCTCCAGGCACTCTTTTCCTTTAGATGGTTCTGAACTTCAAATTGGTGTCCTTTTATACAATTATGCAACAGAGTTCGAAATGAGCCATATGGAAACTTTATAATTGCCCACCATTCTTCATTCTCAAATGTTTTGTGCTCTTTTTCTCCCTGTAGTGCTCGGGCCTGGTTCTGCCCATTAGGTTCAAAGCATCCCAGTCGAGCTTTCTTTTAAGATTATGACTGTGGTCGCAGAGAGGCCCAATGTAGCTAGAGATGTTGATAGACAAGGATGAGAGCCTGGCTGAACATGAACGCCACATTGTAAAGACTTGTGACCAATGCTCCCTCTAAGCTGTGGAGTCCTGTGAGCAAAAATTCTACTTTCTGAGCTACTGGCATTAAAGCTGTGAGCCAGCAATTTGGCTATTGCATAAATTAGTTTGCTCTGGAGCCATCCTTCCTGAGCAAAGACAAAAATGTGTGAGCCAGAGGCTAAAAAACTGTGAGCTAGCTCAGACTGACTCAGCTTCGAGGGAACACTGCTTGTGACAATGCCGTAGATCGGTTTTGTACGTGTGTATGTGTTTGTGTGAATACAAAAACAGAAACAAAAGCTGAACTCTTGTGAAGATGAGATGGATGGACATGAGAGCCTCTTGGAGGCTAGACAACTGAAGAGTACTCCAAAGCCCTTGATTATTCTTCTTTCATAGAGGAAGCTCCTGTCATTGACTTCATTCCTTTCTAAGAACCAACACTAAGGCCCTCAAACAGAGAAAATGGATCTCTGCGTGGTTTAATGGATGGGATGTTGGATTTGGGATATAGGCTACCTGACCTAAGGTCCTTGGTCAAACATGAAGTCCATGTAGAGTTAAGCTTTTCCAGTTGTTCTCAGCTTAACCCACTTCAGAAAACACTTATGGATGTTTTATCCCATTAAGTGGTCTGGGTGCACCTAATGCTCAAGAATTATTGAAGCAAACCAGTTGTAGGCCTGATCCATTTTTAAACTGGGTATTTCTTCCAAGAGGCTCATGGGAAAACAAATAGGAATGCCCAGATTTAACCCACTTAATTTACTTTGTTCCTGGGGTTAACTTTGTGTTCCACTCCTATTTAATTCTGGTTTAACTAGGAGAATTTCTAAATATTAATTCTGGTGTTAGAGCCTATTCATTTTGCCACAATTCTTCATTCCTTCAATTCATTTGTATTCCCCCCACTAGGCTAGTGACCCACATGTTGGTACTGATAAAGCACCACAAAATTGTACTGATGACTGCACTGAGATATGCTCTTCACAGCACTGGAAAACCAGTACACCCAAAGCATCTTGATGCATAAGCACATCAAAACTGACTGTATTATACACAGATATGCACAGGTATATGCTCAGTCACATCAAAACTCTTTTTCTGCAGTGTTTCATCAAGGCTGATGTACACATTGGTAATGAAGGCAGGAGGAGAGATGAATGAACAAAAGAAATTAAAATCAGCTGCTAACCGCACATGTGCAGTGACCTGCATAACATTTAGAATTGTTTTAAAAATGGAACAATGGCTTGTTTTCACTTAGGAAATCACATAATTTGAAGCCCCCAAATCCAGGGAGAAATTCAGTTGATGAGAGTTTTGGAAGTATTCCTAGGTGTTATAAATGAGGATTAATAGAATGGTATATATTGCTATATATTGTCCTTGGGACAAAATGACAAAGGTATCTGAATCAACCATGACCTGCCACTTCTCTCTTTTTGGTCCTCTGAGAGACAGAAAATAAACATCAAGGAATAGGTAGGATGGAGTCACGTTAGTGGATAGCCGGTGATGAGGGAAGCCATGGTTGTTTGTCAAAGGGATGGTATGAAAGTTCTTCCAGAGGAGAGAAGAGTAGAAAGATAAAGGACCTCCCGGTTGCATCAAAATACCTGTTAGAGCAACAACACTTAAGGGTCGGGTTTGGCGACCGAAGGCAAAGCCATAAAGGACAACCTCATAGCCAATGCCGGTAATAAGGCCTCTAAGGGTCAGTTGGTGTTGAGTTCCTGAAAGGAGGAATTCCTGGGGGTCCAGCAGTTTGCCAGAATCCACCACGATTACTAGAAAGCTGTCAAAGGCATTCTCTGGGGCCATCCAGGACACTGTAAACCCATATGGATTAATTCCTGAGACAGTGAGGTTTTCCAGTGGCGGAAGGACCTCTGAAAGAAGGGAAAGGGTCAAGAAACACAAGATTCTGAGTTAGATATGGCTGCATTCTCAACCCAGTATAAACCACAGGTCTTTGGAGAAGTGCCACCAACATTTATATGACCAAGGGCGTCAAAGGGTCTTTCAGTTATCATACAAATGGGGCTGCTTTATACATGCTGGAAGGGGCTTTAGCTCAGAGGCTACTTTGCATGCAGTTAGTCCTGGGTTCCATCCTTGAAAAGTCTGTTGGAGACCCCAGATCACTATGGCTACTCAGAACAGACAGTACTGAGCAAGGAGGACTAGAGCTGACTTACTAGAAGACAGCTTTGCATGTTCATAAAGGCATATCATTGGAAATCTCTATGGCTTACAAAATGGGCGAACTGCTCAAGTCACACACAGCTCCATCATGTGATATAGTTAACAGCAGCTGTGTAAGCAGTTATTTGAATAACACCAGTTTCGTAAAGTTCCTAATGCTTTCACACATACATGCTTCACTCACAATGGTACTGCATCATGGATACTGTAGTCTGCAGAGACTGTAGAATGTGTATGACACAATGTAACTGCCAGAGAAGTGAACTGATAACTCTCTTATACAGCTGACTACAGTACATAAGACAGATTGAGTGTGATGTGCCGCTCTTCTTTATGCAGCTTTTTATGCACCTATTGCTGACTATGGTGTGCATGATGCATTGCTATGGTGAGCAAAGTATGATACCCTGGCCTTGTATTAGACTGTTACTATGGCTGACTAGCCAGAAACCCACCAAACAGGGAACTTTGTAAATTCTAGAAAGCAATTTCATCTTAGGGGATCTAAAATTATGCCCCTCTGAAATCTGTTTTAGCAGAATCCTGCAAAAACCCTATTAGGAATTTTTCCAGAAACCTTGATGAAAGAGTTAGTGCAACAGGGATTGCTTAGAATGAGGCACCTTCACTGTGATCTGATATGGCAAATTTAACGGTATTGCCTTGACTCTCATGTGGGACCATAATGAGCATTTCTTGGATGTCATAATTACAGAATGCCCATTGCCCAACTCAGGTTGAACTGTTAAAAAAAAGCTACATGCATAACAACACTTTATATAAAAGCTTTTAACTTTCATGGATTTGGACAGTCAGTTTGTGGGCAAATGTTCAGGGACCATGAGACATGTTATTTTAAATGGAGGTCAGAAATGTGATTTAAAAGCCACAGTGACTTTTAAATGGGTACCTGTCATCACCAAAGAGATGAGGGGCTCAGGGGCACCCCCTCCTGTGGTTGTGCCCTGAATGTTAATGTCATATTCAGGATAATCTACCAGGTCTGAGATGGCAGTGTCATAAGCCTCCCCTGATACCGTATGCTTCTGTGGCTCATGGTCTGAATACGAATCTCTACCATTTATAGCCAACTTGACAAAAGGTTCATCTCTTGTGGTCCAGGAGAGGTTGAAGCTGTTGGAATTAGCATTTGTGAGTGTGAGCATGCTCAGTTGTGACTCGACCTCTGAAGGAAAGGGGAACACAAGTGGAAAGACAAGTGTTACTTGTGAGGTACTGTGGGTCAGAGAATTAGGTCAGAGAATCTATTAAACACAAAGAAAAAGTAACCCCGTAGGTCACATGTTGGCCTTTCTTTGCCTATCGTATGATGACCATTGTTTAAAGTGAACTAATCAATTCATCCTTATCTTGAAGATCCACCATGAGTGTGTTCTTACACATAAACCTATGCACTGCCTTCTAGCAGGAAAGAGGCAGGGTGCATTTCTCATTCAAGATGCATGGCTGTATGAAGTAGCCCTAAGTGACCCCAATTAAGGATCCATGCTGGAGCTGCATGCATGCTGTCAGCAAGTGACAGGCAGTATTGGCATGGTTTCATAATGCTGAAGACCCTGTGAAATTGAACAAGAACTCAAAAGCCTCAGAAGATAATGGAATTCCCAGTAGAAAGGGAACAGATATGGTGTCACCAGAATACCACGTGAGATTGAGATGACAGGATAGTCTCCCCAGTGCCTGTGCCTCATTTGACCATTTTCAAAGCATGCTTCTGCATTCAAATCAGGCAAGTCCTTGGACCTCAAAGCCTTCTGCATGCAATGCAAATCGAGAGCACTGAGCCATGCCAAGTTTAGTTGGATCTCAGTTTCTTGGAGATGCCAATTGCTGACAAAATGTTCTGGCATCCAACAGAATGTACATCACAATCATAGAAAACATCAGCAGCAATGACAGAAGTTAAACAATCTCAAGAAAGAGATGGGCTTTGTTTGCTTGTTTTTTGTTCCAGCTGCTAACTCGGCATCGTAATATATGCAGCGAAGCCAAGGAGAGAAGGCTTTTGATACCATTGAAAACTGCCATCCATGCAACATGTCCTCTGTTTGGTTGATATATCACCATATTAAGACAACAGGTATTGAAGGATCGAGACCCAGTGCAGATGTTTTGATCTTTGTCACAAAAGAGAAAGCAAGATAGCATGCAAGAGCTTTTCCCCAGAAAGCCAAGCCACAGAGTCGCCTGATCTCATGATCAGAAAAACCAGGCAATGAAAGTTGAAGAAGAGTGGAATAATGGACACTGAAGACAAGATGCAAGTGATGTTCCACAAGGATGCCGATCAAAGTACATACACATATACACACATATATGCATGTACCCAAACACATATCTATATATACACACCAAGAACAAAAAGAATGTGATGGAGATGAGAGGGTGTGTGTATATATAAAAGAACCGATCAGGGTTCTGGCCACTCAGCTCCCTTAATTTGGGGACATGTTCACGGCAACAATTGTCCTCCCTCAAAAGCTCACTAAAATTCCAAGAAATGATCTCTCTCAACATTCTGAAAGGAGACAGGAAGAAATTTTCTTTGGGATTTTGCTTAGAACAAAAGGCATCACAGAATAAAAAAGCAAGCATTGGAGATGATGTACCTGTGGTAGCCAGAGCTGTCAAGGTCTGGCTATTTTGCTCATCAACCAGGCCATGAAGCCGGAGGGTATAACTAAAATTCGGACTTAGATTGGTGAGGACAAAGCTTCGTGTGTCCCCTGGTATTGTGTGCAGCTGGGATTCCAGATGCTGATGTTGGGTGCTGCTAACATCTAAGACAAAATGGTCAAAGGCCATGTCCTGTGCTTCCCATGTGAGGAACACGCTGTCAGATGTAGTATTTGACACTATGAGTTTGCTAAGGAGAGGTGCAGCTACTATGAGGAGGAGAAAAACAAATGGAAACAAATTATACCCTGGAAATCTTTGACTCCTTTCTTTCCAACACCACTCCCACCCCTCTGACTGGGGTATAAGGGCTCAAGGATCTCCATTTCTACTTGTATCTGATGAAGGGAATCTTTGAATCTTGAAAGCTTATATTCTACAAATCTTGTTGGTCCGGTCTTCTAACTGCAAACCAGCATGGCTACCAAACTGAAAATTGCCTATAAATATCCTAATTCCTTCCATATGTCCAGCCAAAGTGGCACGAAAACATCAGGCAGTGTTCTAATGACTTCATACATTAATCAGTTGCACTTGTAGGATATTCCTTCAATGAACTATCCACTAAGGAACGTTTTCGCTTAATGTCCTTTTTAACAGATCTAGTCATTCAGGCCTTCCTTAAAGGATCCACCCAACAGTGAACATCTCCTGCACAAGGTCTTTTTCTCGACCATATACAGTTGTCCCCATCCAGTATAGCACCTTCCCCAATATGAACCCTCCAGTTCTGAATTGCTTTTTTATAGGATTTGATTGATTGCTATTGTTTTTCTGTTTTGCTTTTATGAACTGCTTTGGAAACATTTGTTGTAAAATGGTATAGAAATCTTGTACCAGATTGAATGACTAATCAAAGAATCTTCCTCCAGTGGAGAGACTCTTCCTCCAGTGGAGAGAATCTTCCTCCCTTGTGGACAATATTTCCTGTACACAGCAAAGCAACATGTCATGAAGAAGAGTTCTAGCAGAGTACCTTCTGCCTTGACATGTTCAGACAGACTTTTGTGTGTATGTAGGAATATCCCAGACCCACAGTCTACCGCATACAGCCCAGGTACAAACTTACTATCTCAGGAAAATGAGGGTTTTCAAAACTTCCAAGACATATGAGAACATAACTAAGAACAAAAATATTCCATCAGATTAAGAAGCCTGTCTGTTACTTCAACAAGTATGTTATGCTCCACTAGAGATGCTCTTCATTGGAAGACAACAGAGAGGACAAGGGAATAAATGAAGATAAGCAGAACCCTGAAAAGAAGAATTGTTAGAGACCAAGATAGGATCATATACCTGTCGTTGCTGACACGCTTATTGCCTGAGTACGGTAGCCCCGTGTGAAACCATAGAGGTAGACAATAAAATTAGTGCTGGGGGATAGCCCTGAGATGTAAGCAGTCCTTAAATGGCCTGAGATGTTGTATTCCATTGGTTCCAGCAACCTGTTAGAATCAATCAGTTCAATGGTAAACGACTCAAAGGCTCCTTCGGCGGCGGTCCAGGAAAGGTTGAAGCTCTCGGAGGTAAGGCCAGAAACAGTTAGATCGCTGACTTCCGGTTTTGTTGCTAAGGAGGGAAAACAACATTTTATTTTTAAAGAGAGAGAGAGTTCAAGGCCTGTTGTCTTTCTTTCAGTCTTCATGTCACTGGTTTGCCAAGCAAGGGGATGAAATGGAGAGACTGGCTCAAGCAGATATAGAGAAGAAAGACCAGCCAAAGTACAACTATGACACCCCATGAAAATACCATCCATATGGCCACCATGCATGAAAGCTGAGTCAAGGGAAGCAGCCTAGCAAGACAAAAATCACCTGCTGCAGATTTTTATAGGAGAGCTTGGATCAGCTTCTGTTGGAGGCTTTTTAGATATATGATCTCTTCTTAGACTGGTGACTCGGACTAACTAGTTTCCAGGTTTATGAAGGCCTCATTGTTCCTTGATAAATTCCAGAGGGGTAGTGGAATTAGACTGCTGCGGCAAAAATAACAAAGAGCTGTGGCACCTCAAAGACTAAAGGCAAACGTTTTCATGATGAAGTGGTCTGTATCTCGTGAAAACGTATGCCTCGATACTTTGTTTTCCATACCATAGATGGATATACTGAGCTGACTTGATTCAGACTGGTAGACACATGACACTGCTACTTGAGATCATTTGGAGATCCCAGAGATTGAACCTGGAACCCCTAATACACCACATGCATACCTTCCCAGAGGGCTATGCATGGTGGGGTAGTTTCTTCAATGTACTAACAATGGAAACAACCCTCTGCTTTATCAAGGAAGAACAGGTCTTCCCATGGTCCCTTTGTACGGACAAACTTGAAATTAATTATCTTATTATGAAAGTCAAATCAATGCATGATGAAAGGATCGAGGAATGGATTGGAATTGCCTGTCTTCTAAGGGAGTCCTTGGTGACATTCATAAAACCCTTGGGATTGAAAATTCATGGAGGTCCACCCATGGCTATTAGCCATGACAGCTAAATGGGACCTCCATGTTCAGAAGCAATCTACCTCTGAATACTTGTGGCTGAGAGAGGCAGCAAGAGGGCAAATCTTGTGCTTCAGTGTCACTGCTATGGTCCTTCTGGGGCATTTTGCTGGCCACTGTGGAAAAGAAGGTACTGAACTAGAGGGATCACACTGTGATCCAAATGGCTTATCTTCTCAAAAGTTTTAATGTTAAATCAGAAGGGAAAGATCAAGATTAGCAATACTTACGCAGTGGGGGACCCAAATCAGTCCATTTATTTTTATTTTACTTCTCTTACATCTTGCCTTTCTCCCTAGTGGGACCCCAAGTGGCTTACGTTGTTCTTGTCTCCTCCATTTTAGGTTAGGCTGAGAGTGTCTGACTGGACTAAGAATGAAGTCTGAGTCCAGTGGCACCTTTAAGAACAATAAAATTTAATTCTGGGTATAAGCTTCCGTGTGCATGCACACTTCTTCAGTGTATTAACAATGTAAATGTATCTGAAGGAGTGTGCATGCACATGGAAGCTTATACCCAGAATTAAGGATCAGATACTAATGGCAGGACACAGCTCAAGGCCTGTTTAAGCCCACATGGCACGCTAACACTGTACACAGCCACTAGAATTCCGTCAGAATGAGAGTTTTCCTTTTCTAATGGGCTGATTGATGCACACATCAAGAAGGAAACAGTACAATACTGAAGCAGTCGAGTGGCTTGCACTACTTCAGCCTGCAGTTGGGAGGACCCATTCTGCCATCTCCAGACTGTACAGCTTCAAGTTAATGAATGTTCCAACCACGCCGCTGCCCGGACCTTTAAGCCTCAGGACAGAGCAGGCTTGGGGAGAAATGCCACTCCGTGCAGTAGTCAGAAACTGGATGGAGTTTTGCCATAGTGAGTTAAAACAAGCAAATGGAGAAAGAGCGAGCGAGCGCGCAAAGCAGAGATTATAAAGTTCTTGTCAGAGATGAAATCCTTTTTTTTTCCTCCAACGGGAACTGTGTCTCAAGTAGGGTTTTTCAATGGAAATGGCAATAATGCGTTACAGCCGGCTTTCCAGAGGAGAGGTCCACATGCAGGGAAGAGTTTAATTCCTTGATCCGTGCTTTGCAACTAGCATGAATCTCGCTGTTTTATTCAAAGGAAAGTGTTTGCGATGCATTAGAGATGAAGCAAGATTTTCACTTAAGAAACAAGCAATAAAGGGGACTGTAGAAATTGTAAAATAATCAGATGTAATAATGCCAATCAAAGTGGTCTCCATTACAGACCAGGAAGTGGGATTTGATTTGGGCTGAAACTATCTGAGAGTTAAACCCAGCCAGTGCCCAGCTCGGGGACATGCAGAGTAGTAATCAAAGAGGGAATGCTTCTAAGCATGGGCAGAATGCCTTTCATCCAACTCCAACCACCCCAAAGATTTAAAATTATGGATTCTGGGCTGCAAAAGGTGACTTCCTGAGTACCAAGTCTCAGTTACTTTTATTATTAGAAACTGAACACTGAGCAAGATCTAATAAGGAAAAGACTTAATAAGGGGAGGGGAAATAACATGTTAACTGGTTTCCCTGAGAGTCTTTCCAGAATACAGTTCTAAAATATAAGAAAGATTTTCATGAGATAAGATGTTCAAGTTATATTATTTGTTGATCATTAGAAAAGAGGAGAAGATTTGAAGCGGATATCTCTCTTTTCCGTAAAGGAAAGAACTTGGGGGGGGGGGGGCAGAACAAAAAAAACACACCAAAGAAAGAAGGGATTTGAACTGGACAAATGAATATAAAAGGGTACCTGTTGTGGATTGAACCCTGATGGGTTTTGTCCTGTAGCCCTGAGTTACACCATAGAGGGTGACAATGTACAAAACGTTTGGCTGGAGGCCAGTGATGTCCACAGACCGTAAATTTCCCAGAACTGTGAGATTCTGCATGACTCTGGAGTGGTTCGACTCCCGCACCTGTATGATAAAGCTCTCATAGGCCCCTTCTGCTGTTGTCCAGCTGACCTGGAATCCATCCCAGTGAACATCTGAGACTGACAAGTTCCCCAGCTCAGGTTCCTCCTCTGGAGAAGGACAGAGAGCCAATTGGTTAATCAGAGCGCAGGCTGGAGGAGAGACAAGGAGCCGTTCGATCAGGGTTTTCATGTTAATGAGTCCCACTCATGGTCCATTGCGTATTTATGAACTCAGCTCATTTTCACACACACACAGAGCACCCTAGTCTAAGGTTTCCAAAGCCAGGCAATGCTGCTGAGAAAGGAGATGTAAACAATGCCAACCGTAGGCCGAGCAGTAAGCTGCAGGACCTAGAAAGCAACTGTAGGGATGAACTTCCATCAAAATTGTTTTACAAACATCCAATTATGCTTCCGAGGATCTTGGAAGGATAGTTACCACCACTTTATGACGCCCATTAAAAATGCAATATGTGCTCCTCCGATGCTATTAGGCTAATGCAGCAATCAGCAGCCCCTTGACTTGTTTTGTCTCTGCCTCTCTCGCAAAGACGGGGGAAGACACAGAACCGATTAAAAGAAGGGAAAACAAAGTAGGCCAGCCAGTGTAAGGCAGAAGGAAACAGGCAAAATACAAAATACCCAGTTCTAAACTTGTACTTGACATTTCCTATACGATATATTTTGATAGTATCATTTGCCTTTTTTTTCTTTTCTGTAAAACAAAAACCTGTTTGATAAAATCCAATTTAAAAAGAGGATGGGGATACTTTGGATGGGAAATGTGGCAGATAGGAGGGAGTCAGAGCTGCCAACTCTGGCTTGGGAGATTCCTGGAGATTTGGAGAAGTCTGCCTTCCAAAACCGCCATTTCCTCCAGGGAACCGAGCCCTGTGTCTGCAGATCGGCTGTAATTCTGGGAGAACTTCCGACACTACCTGGGGGTTGGTAACCCTAGAAGGAGTCTTTAATCCATCCTCAGCCACTTGGATATATTTTACCCACCTTCTTCTCCCCCCCCCCCAGCTTTTATAGCCACGTGTGGGAAAGGGATATCAGTTTGCAGCTGTATGGGAACAAAGGGGGTTTGCAATTGCCTGGGCTTCTTTGGTGTTCTCCCACCCAAGTATTAACCAGGGCTCAGCCTGCTTAGCTTCTGAGAGATCCGATGAGACCAGGCTAACCTGGGCCATCAAGGTCAAGCCAACTCATTTCCAGGGGTCATTTCCTGCAGGAGTGCACAGGAGCGGAGCTCTGGCAGTAAAGAGCCCAGGGGTCGGGCACATGCAACAAGCCCCACCCCCTGCTCCCAGCAGCTCTCAGTCAGAGCAAGAAGCAGCCAGATAAATTGCAGAGCCCCCCCCCTGGCCCCCCGGTCCAAAACAGTCCAGTGGCACCTTTAAGACCAAGTTTTATTCAGGTACAAGCTCTGCCTCCTCTGCGAGGACAGATCTGCGTGTTTCCCGCCCTCCCCCCCCCAATAGCTAGCAATCCAAAACAGTCCAGTGGAGCCTGTGCGGTGGGTGTTGCCTTCTGACACACTTCCGGTGATGTCAGAGGGTGTGGCATATGCAAATGAGCTCCTGCACCTCTTTTTCTACGAAATGACCCCTGCTCCTTTCTAAGGGTAAACAAATGCTCCCCATTTTGGTTCTTTTACATTTTTGTCAACATTTGGCAGTTCTTTGCTTTTTACCCTTGGTTTGGGACCTGTACCGCATATGCACAGCGAACAGAATTTACATGCACGATTATGCCATTTATGTGTATAATAAATGCACAACGTATAATGCTGTTAAAAAAACAAACATACTCCAGGAAGAAAAAAATATGCAAAGAAACAGGAAATGGTGCGAAAATAAAGACTTGTGGGTATTACTTGCACAAACAGAGAGTTGGGGGTTGAAACAGCAAGGACGAGAAATCTGAAATAATCCCTCCCTGGTACTCTTCTCTTTCAGAGGAAATTGCTTCCATGCAAGTGGTATAAATATCCAGGGTTTTTCTGGGGGTGGATGGTGGATGGTCAATCTGCTATTTGCATGCATGTTCTAAATAGCAGTCAAAGAGAGGATCAATGTCAAGTCTTCAGAGCATGCAGATGTGTGGACATGCATCATCACAATTCCAAAAGGCTCATTCTAGTTGTAATGGTTTCAAAAGCTTTGAGGAATAACACAACTCAGTTTGGGAGAAAGACCAGAACAAGGCACACAAGGAAAATAAGAGACAGGTGGCAGTGCTTCGAAGTGATCCTTGATGAAGGAATCTGACTGGTGTTAAGGAGGTCTAGCATGGAGACCTCCAGCATCATCATCCTCATCCTTATCATTATTGTATGGCATTCTGTGTAATATCGCCAGGAGATCCTAAGATAGTCTGGCCGCCAGACGTTCTAGCTCTTTTAGCGTTATGTACCACTAGGTGGCGAGCTAGACTTGTTTTTAAGGCAAGAGACATTTCAGAGGTGGTTTCCTATTGCCTGTCTCTGCATCATGACCCTGGTATTCTTTGGAGGTTTCCCATCCAAATACTAGCCAAGGCTGACCTGGCTTAGCTTCCAAGATCTGACGAGATCAGGCTATCCAGGCTATCCAGGTCAGACCTCCAGTAAATCTGACATAAAGTGCCTTTGAGTTCCATGAAGGAAGGTGGGATAGAAATACAATAAATAATAATGTTCCCGTGAACCTTAAAAGCTTTTCAAGGTTTCTTCACTGAGTAGATCAATAATGAGTAGATCAGTAATAACTGGCTTCCTAACAACCCTCCTCTTCTGATCTCTCCATGTACTGTACATTCACAATGGAGAGTGTTTTAGTGAGTGACGGTTTTCATCTTAAAATAATAAGACTGCTGGCCAGGCCAGTTGTAAATGCCAATCTGCGTCCCCCTAAAGCTAGCATCTGATGGAATTGATGGGTAGTAGACTCAAGAAGATAAATCCATAATTAGCTTACGGAATTCTCTTCTACAAATTGTTACAGGGCCACCACCCTCCAACTTAGATGAAGAACCAAAGTCATGCATAGGGTTGCCAACCTCCAGTTGGTGGAAGAAGATCTCCTGGGATTACAGCTGCTCTCTAGGAGACAGAGATAAATTCACCTGGAGAAAATGGACTCTATGGCATTATTCCCCACTGAAGTCCCTCCCCTCCCCAAACCCCACCCTCCTCAGGCTCCACTCCCAAAATCTCCAAGTATTTCCCAACCTGGAACTGGCAACCCTAATCATGCTGGAAAGGTCCATCAGTGGTTAGTAACCAGCTTCTTGTTCAGCAGCAGCATACCTCTGACTACCAGTTTTCAACCACAGGAGGCTGCTTTGGCCTCCATGCAGCAGTCAGTAAGGTATGACCCTACCTCATTTCACCCTTTGTGCTGCAGATCCAATCAAAGAAAAGTTTTGGTGGGGATTCAGTAAGTTAAATTAACCACATTTTTTGGTGGGACACAATGCGTCCAGTGCTTCCAATCATAGATCTCTTTATTGTCTCTACCCCATTTTCACACCTCCATTGCTTTTCTCTAACCCCCATTTTGTAGCCCCTATTCTTCCGTAACGGAAGTTCTGAGGGCGGGCATCTCCCAGCAGCCTTGGACTCTGACTGTAACCTATGAAACATTTGCTTTTTTCCTAAGGGGAAGGAAAGAGATGGAAAAGATTAAAGAAGGGGGTCTTAGAGAGACCTGTAGCTAGGACCAGGCCTGTGAGGGCTGGAAGAGCACCAGGGAGGTTTGTGCAAGTTGGAGCAAAGAAGCTGGAGTCCTCCTGACAGACTGAAGCTCAAGACACAGAAAGTTTATTTAAAAATGACCGGGTCAGGAGAGCCTTGGGAAAAGGAGACTGGAACCAGTACATTCCTACTACTGAACTGGCAAGCACAAAAAGGGCCCTCTTATGGAACCAAGTTATTATTTCTCATCTTTTCTTGGATGAAACTTCCCTGTTTACCTACCCCAGGGAAATGTTTGCTGCTATTCGCTGCACTTCACTGCAGTTGTTAGGACCTACCAGGCTGGATCTTGAAGCTGCCAGCCCTGAAGTGTCCTCAGCAGTTGCCTCAAATCTTATCTGCATAGGCATACTGTATTTACATGACACTTCCCTTCTGCACATTGTGACATGGACCATCACCCATTTCACCATGGGAAGGCAACTGGAAGGTACAACAAGAGCACAGTTCTCTTGCAGTCTGTTTCCTCCACTGCTGCCTGGTTCTTCCATCACCAGAAGATGGTCCCTTTACTGGAATAAGGGCTTTGCAGGGGCCCATCTATGAGGAACCCTTGATGAGGAATCCTCATCTCCAGCCCACCTGGTTTTTCTCTCCTGGGATTAGTTGTCCACTTCTATGTTCGACTCCATAATCATTTCTATCACAGCTTGCTGATCATAGATAGAACCTTCTCATCATGAGCATATAGCTCCTGTCCACAGCAGGCAAGGTGAAGAGAGGTACGGTCAGGTCACCCGTTAGTGACTACTGGCATGATGGGAAAAGGAATCCAGCTGGGTCCTCATTCCACTCTGTTAGAATTATTATCCATGCTACAATTCACAGGAGAAAAGAAGCCAAACATCATGCTTAATTTGACTGTTATTAATCCCCTGTGAGTCTGTCCGCAGGCTGACATTGTGGCAAGAGATGGCACCAAGGTTCTTGCCAACATAGCAGAACGGTGGCATCCCGAGCATGCAAGATAACCTCAAGCCAAATGTCGGATGCTTAATTAGGCCCTGTGCATATCTGTTAATCATTAACACATCATCCCCATGGAGCTGCATAGGATGCAAATCTACAGTAAAGACGGGTTTTTGTTTTCTTCAAAAGGAAGAAAAAATGTCACCATTTTCCTATGGGGGTCATAAGCAAATGGCTTCACAGAAACATTTTCCATGCCAGAAGAAAGGGGATGATGTTGCATACGCAGGCTGACTTGCAAGTTGGGCGGATACATTGAATGGATCCATTTAGCATGCATGGAACTGATCCATTCAACCATCACTCCCACAATGCCAACAAAGTTGTGGAAATTCACTCTGGAAGAACAGATAAAATCATACTATAGGAAAGGAGAAAAGGTTGGTGAGAATATAAGAAT